ATAGGACAATGAATAACTAATAACAGATTACCTATGTTTTTGTTTTTTTTTTGATATTTATTAATCAGAGTCAATCTCCTCTAATGCATACATTTCATTGTCATTGAATATTTCTGTAATTATTTGGATTATCTTGCTGGCTAATGAGAAAGAATCAACACTTGTTTTATCTAGTATATCATTTACAGTAAATAAAAAAGATAACTTTGCTATGATTTCTTGAACAGAAAACCCACAAACAATGTCACTGTGAATGAAAGATTTGGTTCCTTCAAATATGTTGTCCTTCAATGACTGAAGTCTTTGTTGAACAATGACTTTCTCTTCTCCTCCTATTTCTCTTCTCATGTCTAGTTCATTATCTTCATCTCTCAAATTCAAAAATGTTTCCTTTGCAGAATGCTTTGACGGGCAACCATCACTTTGACATTTGCACATTAATTCACAGATGTCACAACAGAGGTGATCACAATCTCTTGTGTGTTTCTTCATGTAAGCTTCATTTAGAATTTTTCGCCTACAGGTACTAGTACTTTTAAGAAGCTTAATCACATCATCATCCACCTTTTGTAATTGATTTGCCTTGTAGATAATCAGTTCATTTGATGGGGATCCATCCCTGCCGGCACGGCCCATCTGCTGCACCAAATTGTCAAGGTCTCTGGGTGGACCATAATGAACAATGTTATTTAAGTTTTGGAAATTCACTCCCATCCCTGCTGCATTTGTACATATTAACACTTTTATACTACCATTCGCTTCATTCATGTCTTTACGGATTTTTTCTTTAGTGGGCAATAGTGGCATCAGTTGTTTTACTGTGATACATGTTAAAATATTTGTAGGCCCACAGATTTTTAAGAACAGCATATAAATCATAGCACAGTCTTTAATTGAGTTACAAAATATTAGATGCCTCTGTAATAAGTGTAATTCTTGCCCATTCTCAACTAATGCAGCTGTTAACCACTGAAATACATTTTCTAATTCTACATTATTTTTCACTTTCAGTACATTCAATTTAATGTTTGATCTATCTGGACTGTCTAGAATTACACAGGATGGATGACGAAAACACAGTTTCTGCATAATTTGGCGTCTGTGTGTGGGGCTAGCTGTCGCGGTGAGCGCCAGTATAGGTACCCCAATGCAAAGTGATCGCATCTCTCCTATGTGAGCAAACCACTCTCGAAATGGCCCTTCTTGTTGATGCTCTAGCCCCCTAAAAGTATACACAAACTTTCAATTTTAATAAATTAATAATCGATTTCCTGGAAAACTAAATTAAATTAAAGAAACATCATTTGACATGTGAGGAAGTTTTAAAACATGCATTGTTAAAAAGGGGCAATTTCAAGGTGATGCAATTATTCTATATTCAAATGGTTGATGTATTCTTATTAAATTACCATTGAATTACGGTGTGGGCCTCATCGACCACAATCAATTGGTGTTTTGATGTGAAGATTGGATTTCTCAAAACTTCTCTCCATTTGTCATCACCGACGAGAAGTTCGGGGCTTCCAAACACGAACTGAAAATATCCGTTCATAACAGCTTGCTTATCAGTGTCATTCGATACTTGCACAGCTCTGTATCCAAGCATGTTCAGTCTCTCTATATGTTCAGACATAATACTGTTCAGCGGAGCAAGCACAGTTGTAACACCATTCTCTCCCAAAACAATCGGCGAGCTTTCGTAGACCAGAGATTTCCCACTCCCCGTCTTTGTCCCAACAAATGTGTCGTTTCCTTTCTTCAGGGCATCGATCGCCGAAATTTGTTGATCTGTAAGTGACTTCAGATTGAATTTCTGACAAATTCTGTTTACAACTTCTATATCGGCCATATTGGCTGTCTTACCGAAAGGTAATGTGTTTGGCTTAATTTGATTGGTCGAGAGATTGTAATTTCCCCGAAAGACGTCGCTGTAGTCAACCCACATAAGTCAGGGGTCCAACGGCAACGTGTTGACTCAGGACCCCTGACGTTGTGAGGATGCCGATGCCCGATCTGTTTTTGTTTCTCCGACTGGAAACCAAAACAGATCACAGCATGGGCGTCGAAAGCAAATTGAAAGGGGGGGGGCTTAACCAACCAAAAAAAAAGGTAAAAAGACACTCTCATAGGCGTCGGAACCGGGGGGGGGGGGGGGGGGCTTCGTAACAAACCAAAATAAACAATTCCTCGGATACAATGCAAATGAAAAATTATACAATACAAATGGAAAATATAGAATACAAATGAAAAATTATACAACACAAATGGAAAATTATACAATACAAATGGAAAATTATAGAATACAAATAAAAATTATACAATACAAATGAAAAATTATACAATACAAATGGAAAATTATACAATACAAATAAAAATTATACAATACAAATGAAAAATTATACAATACAAATAAAAAATTATACAATACAAATAAAAAAATATACAATACAAATAAAAAGTATACAATACAAATGGAAAATTATACAATACAAATGGAAAATTATAGAATACAAATAAAAATTATACAATACAAATGAAAAATTATACAATACAAATGGAAAATTATAGAATACAAATAAAAATTATACAATACAAATGAAAAATTATACAATACAAATAAAAATTATACAATACAAATGGAAAATTTTACAATACAAATGGAAAAGATCGAATATTGCAACGTTTGACTTGCCATAACTTTCAGCTTATTTTTATTGTGATTTAATAATAGTGAGGTCTAATCTCTTCTTTAGTAAAAAAAAATTGTTCAAATTTCATCGGTTATCTGTGTCAAAATTCACCTTAAAATGTGTGGTGTTCACACCACAATAGAAAAATCATGCGTCTCGTAGATTCGTGGTACGTCATCAAAATCTGAGTTATTTGTATGGTGTGCTATTTCGGGCACAATTGCTTAGAAAAACGAAAAAAAAAATATTGACGAAAATCGATGTTTTATTCCATAAATTATTTAGTTTATTGCAAATACCTTAATATAATTTTCTAAAGATAAGTTTTAAAAGTTAAACAATAAAAAGCTTTCCTTGGTTATTGGTACGGGAATGAATGTCACAGTTTATATTACAGAAAATTATACATACATGTAACCCGCGTATATTTATATTAACATTTATAAAGTTAGAATTGGATTAAAATGGAATTTATTTGTCTTTTAATTTTTGATGCAAAAAGAGAGAAAAATAATTTTAATTTGAAGGACGAATATCTTATAGTTTTTACAGCACTTGTAATTCGGGTGCTGATTATGATAAACAAAAAAAAAACTGATTTTAAACGCTAGCAACTTTCCATATTTTATTCAATGCCTAGCAAGATCACTTGATATAAACAGTCAATCATGCAGACGACATCTGGATATTCATTTGAAATAAATTTACTTACTTTTGTTTTTTGTACCCATTTAGCTATTTTAGGGAAACAGGTATGTCATCCAAAAGTGACTTATATGGATGTTTACGTAATTTGTACATTTTTTTGCATTACTTACCGAATTTTCCTTCATTTTCGTTGAATTATGCTCCTGTGTTTACATCAGGAACACTACTTTCGATTTCTCCAAATTAAGGGGAAGATCGAAGGACCTTTAGCTGAAAAAATACCTGTCGTTCAATTTTTTTCATATTTTGTAGATCTCTAATATAGTATGTCCTACATACTTAAAAGCATATATATCAATAGGTTTCTAGACTTATTTTTGAGATATTGAGTGACAAATACTATACCCCACAGTGTCTAAGTGGAGTTTTAACACTGATGCTATGTAACTTTCAAAATCCTTCGGCCACGGAATGTCTCAGATTTCAATGAAACTTTGTGTATTATAAGATATTGGTGTATAACAGGTAAAAAACGTGTGCAATGATTTGACCTAGCAACGGTTGTCATGGAAACATATTTCATAACGACCGACAGTGGAAGTATTGGAAACTTTAAACAATCTCTTAAAAAGAGATATATCTAAAAATCAAAAACAAAAACAAATTTATCAGTCTTTTTTAAACGCTTTAAAGCCAAAATCTTATTTACCTAGCTCATAAATAATGTGTAAATATACTTTTTCAGTAAATTTCACAGTTAAACGATGGGTGCGTTCACAGTTCTACCATTAGTACCAACTTTCAATATACCATTGGTACAATAATTTGACAATGGTACCAACTGTACCAATAAACCCTGAACGGGTATTGGCATACAAATGTAACAATTTTACCAATGTTACCAATGGGAGTCCAATGGAGACATTGGTAATACTGAATTACAGATTTCTTTGTCTTCTAAGTTATTAGCACATGCCAGAATCGCAAGAAAATCATAGCAGACTCATATCCGACAAACAAACCACATTAGGATCACACTTCTTTAGTTGCCATATCTATGAGTTTTATATAATCCATTTAATGGATCATGTCTAAATCATACTTCAAAATCATGAATATAAGTGTTTGATATGATTTTTATGTGATTTTGGCATGATTTTTTAAAAAGGATTAGAGGAAAAATCGTTTATATCATTGTAAATCCGGGATCCCAGTCTTTCTAGCTTGTTGCCATGTCGATAACTAGCTGTGACGTCATTTACCAACACTAACCACACTCTAGACTGTCTGCAGAAAAATATACCATTGGCAAAAAACATTGGTACCAGTGGCATGCCAATGGTAATTAATTTTACCAACGGCAACTTTTGTCTACCAACGGCAGAACTGTGAACGCACCCGATGCCAGACTTGAGAGGAAAAATAAATGTTTTGTCCAGTCATCTAGTGTAAACATTTATGTTAGAAAAATAATATAAATATTATCTTAGAATATGGAAACTTTAAATTTATGGAGAAACCGAAGATAAATCTGGAAATAAGATTTAATTACTTGGGAATTTGGAGAAAAACAACGACAGAGTTATAGTTTTTGACGTACTCTTTTGTATTGAAGGAGAGAAAGAACGACCTTCATTTATTCCAAATTGTCTCAGCAGATCATGCAGGTGGAACTTAGGTTTCATTCGTTTCATTTTTTTAGTTGTTCGTTCTAATGTAGTGACTTTTAGTCCCCTTGATTCATTACGTTCAACTTTGTGAACCAATATTTTGACAGAATCGGGTTTGATATACAGTAAATTTTCAAATTCATGTAAAATTTGCCAAAATGAGTTTGAGTTGCATTGAGCAGCTGTTGAGAAGGATCGCCTAAGCAGAACATGGAAATATTGCGGGATTCCTTAACAATTAGCATCACACTAATAAAATTTTTTTTAAAAAAAACGATGAAACAAAGAGCAATGAGACACTCAACGATTCATCAGGTGGAAGGCATCAATAGAAACTATGGCCGATATGGGACAATTCTTCCTGTTGGAACATGTAAGTATAAAGTAATTTAGTCAACTCAAAACATACAAAAACTAAAAGTAGACACAGACTACAGACTAGAAAGCTTCTTATTGAAAATGTATTATAAAATCAAAATAATCATGAATGAAAGGACTGATATATAACTGGAAATCATTTTTACACATGTAATGAATAGACTTCATAATATACTCCAGTAATCATGGTAATGACTAATGTTGAATATTTAGCCTTTTTCGTATTCTAATTTTTAATGGACAGGTGCTATCAATAAAGATGGCAATTTCCTGATTTTAAAATGCATTTTTGTCCTCGAATGTTCTTGAGAACGGCTCAAGATATTCACTGGAGACTTATTAGAGACGATAGATCATGAGTTATAGATTTGCAATTTTGCCTTCGTTTGCTTTGTCAGTACTTCCGGTCGCTACGGGAAGCGAATTAAAAAATATGCAGTTTTTGAACTTTTTTGTTTTTCAGTATTTTTCTTTGATATAATTAACGTTAATGAAGACCCTACTGAAAAGGCCTAATATATCATTTATTTTAGAATTGATCAATCCACCAGTCTAGTCGAACCCTCAAACGGGGGTAAACGGAAGTAGGAAAACCGTACCCTCAAATGGGGGTACGCGCATGTGCAGACACTAAAAAAAGTGCCGTTTTCACGGAAAAATGTGTGGTCCACAAAATATGCTCGTGCAAAGTGATGGATTATTTCGTAGCTCTGTATGTACCCAAATTTGATAGATTAAAGATGTTTAAAGAGATTGTATTGCGAAAAAGTATATGTTTATTGCAAAAATCGAGACTTTTTCTCTCTCAAAGTTAGCGTATTCTGTGCCTTGACCTCCATGCTTGATACAACTACATTTTTTTATTCCTAATTTAATAAAACGGATGAATAAACAGTCAGTGGTTTGTTTAAAGTTGAACTACATATAATTCCCTTCCCCAGTATTACAAATCTTGTGTAACTATCATGTTATTTATTATTTTTCGACACTTTCTTGTGTGCCCGTCCGAATTTTCTCTGTCCTGTAAACAAACTTTTGTGCTTCAGAAATGAGGTAAATATAAACGAAAACATTTTTATTACTTTTTTTTTAATTGAAACAAAGGTGTACACAATTCATTTTTGTATGTTTGTGATTTTTAAAAAAATATTTTTTTTTAAATAAGAACAGTTATCGTTCTTGAATTCCACTTCCGCTTTTGCGCGTTGCATTAAGGGAAGGAAAACCCTCATTTGAGGGTATACCCCCGTTTGAGGGTTCGACTAGACTGATCCAAACACTACATATTTGCATTTGAAAATCTGAAGCGGGTCCAAGATGGCGGCTGTCTTAGTAAACTCGGCCATTAGGCAAGTCGGGGTCTAGAAGGTCAGCCGAGCGTTTGGATGAAAGAAACTTCTACCATAAATATCAATGACATGTAAAGGAATCATTGGATTGTCACGTCGTAATTACGTTGCATTTCTGTTTCAGATTATAGTTTTAATCCGAGGTTTCTTCAAAAGTCTGTTAGTATTGCTTATGTCTGAATATTTTTGTAATAAATGCAAGTTATTGAACATAAATAGTATCAGATTTCATGACCGTTGGAGAGCGAGAGATTTTTTCAGCGAAACATTCCAATCTCTTCATGAATCTGTTTCTAATCGGAAGGGAGTCCACTTTGGGGGTAAACAGGATACAAAATTCATGTACAATGCGATAAATATATTTTCTAAAGCTCGAAATTCCGGTGTTAAGAACATACATTTCTAAATTTTAATGAAGCTATCACATCAATTCAATAGATCATGCATTTCAAAGGAATAGCTTTAAGAGCTACTCGTGACGTTTGGCACGAAAAAAAAAATGTATCGTGACCCGACTTAACTAGTAGACAAATGACAACAGAAGTGCAGTAATAGATACCATTGGCATGCCTGTATATGGAGTTGCATGGAATAGAAAGTTGAATACATATCAAATAAAAGAAAGTAAACAGTACCATTTGTTCATCAGTAATAGGTTATCTCTCCTAAAAGGAGATGGGTGAACATGACGAGAGATAAGCCTATACCGCAACAAACATTGAGGTGAAAAATTAAATCTCAATTATATCAAAATTTTCCTTAATA